TATCAAGCATGAATTTTCAAATGTCGAATCTGTCACTCCTGAGCAGGGGCGTAGCTACGGGGGGCCTGGGGGGCACGAGTCCCCCATAAATTTTCTGTGCCCCCTCAGGTGCCCCCCACCCAGCATGGGACAACATCGCGCGCAAGTAGTTTTTCACTCTCTTGAGAACACTGAATGATCTCTCACCGCTGCAGTTAGTCATCATCAGAGATAAGAATATTGAGAGCATGGTGCCAACGTTTGGAAGAGAATTTCGAAGTGCTGGGTTGCCCATCATCACGCGATGCATCCAAATCTCTGGAGCGTCATTTTGCTTGGAGGACAGGTAGTCACCTTAATTCAGATGCAAAATCTGACTTCAGAATGGAGGAAAAGAAGAGGAGTTCACTGCATGGAGAGCTCAGGTTCAAGGTCACTTGGATAACTATCCACCACTACCTTTGCATACTTGTCCATTTCTTCAGCAGAAATGCTAGTTAGCCTTCGAAGGAACCCAAATTTCCCACTGATGGTTGAACAGTATAATTTTTTTTTGTAGTCACAACACTTTATAGGGCCGGTCGACTTGTAGGGCCGGGGGCAAATGCCCCCTTTGCCCCATTGATAATCCGCTACTGTGCACAATAAGCCGCTCTCAATCTTACGGGCTGTACGGGTTGCCTGTTGTTTTGGCTGGGATCAATTTTCAACTGAGTAGGCCCTATACTTAATGGCGCCATAAGTAGATAACGCAGACAAGAATGCTGCAAAAAAATCCATATGTCTGTGTCTTAGGGGCAGGGGGTAACACCATTGTCACGTGGTATGACGTCGGGAGCTCCGCTTTTAGGCAGTGCCTAAATCTGAATATTAGCCATAGAAATAATATAGATAACCTAGAATGCTGATAGCCCAAGAAAATTGACCCCAGCGAGCGACGCTAGCGCCCCTACCGAAGACGGGAGCACTACCGCGGGAAATTTGTGTTTACATTGACTAAACTCAGCGATCACGTGCGCCTTCGAATCGCTCCCAAACTTTTAATACAACACAATTTCTAATATACTTATGCAATATTGCCCTGCTAGGTATAAGTGAGATCGGAAAGTCCAGCTGTGCTATGTATAGGTCACAGAAAAAGGGGGTACTATAAAATGGCCGAAGCGCGCTTAGGAATTAAAGTACATGATTAATGTAAACACTCGTGCGTTTTTAGTTTTTGCTTTCCGATTTGGCTTATTAGGGGCCCTGGCAGAACATTTTTTCCATTTGTAAACCTACATAAACGTACAAAAACGTCTATCTATATTATCAAGAGCTAGCGTATAAAGAAGGTATGTAAGTATTATTATGTCAAGCCTTCTTTATACGCTCTTGGTATTATTTCTATGGTTATAGCCAATGCGCAGTGAACGCGCACGCGCGACGCAGCGGTGCCATGAGAACAAGATGCGGTTGTCAAGACAACGACGCCCTTTTGGAAACATTTAGAACAATTCAGTTCACGGTTAGAACAATAAGGAGGAGCTTGAATCAAGAATTGTTCGTTTATGATTGTAAGGACAATATGACACATATAAATAATCTTAGGTCAGATGAAACAGAGCAATATGAGCGCGATGATTCAAGTGACTCATTCCTGTCTTTGCCAGCGTATGCACAGTGTCCGGTTGTGTCGCAGTATACAGAGGCAGAACGTAAGCAAATTCGAGAGTAGTGTAGGCCTAGTGTGTATCGTTAAAAGTATTCGCAATGTTACATTATTTAACACAAATGGCATGCGTCTAATCTACGAACTAGGTTAATCTCGTAAGTAACGCACTACTACTACTACGCCTACTACTAGGTAGGTATGTTTTGGGTGCATAATAATATATGCTATGCATTCGTTTGCGGTTTAGATGTAAATACAGCAGGGGCGTGTACAGGATTTTGACCAGGAAGGGGTCTAACCGTAACCCAAACTTGCGAGCACGCGAAGGGTGGGGGGTCTGGGGGCCCTCCCCCATAAATTTTTGAAATTAGACCCCTTCAGATGCGTTTTCTGCGCGAGCAGGGGGGGTCCGGACCCCCGGCCCCCCCCCCCCCTGTACACGCCCCTGTACAGCGTACCATGATTTCATTGAATGGCATGCATCCGCTATTATACCTAGAGAAAACTCATTACAGCTCAATATAATGTGTTATAGTTGCAAAGCAGCCAAAGACTTGTTATGATGAAAAAGGAAGAAAAATCAGAAGACCTCCAAATGCCTTTATGGTATTCTCTAATCGAAGAAGAAAGATTCTTGCAGCAACCTATCCAGGAGAAGGTAATAATTTTTATAAGAGAAGGTGTCGGTTATAGGGCCGGTTATGTAATTGTAAGCTCATTCACCATACCAGGCCTATATTTTGCATGTCGAGAGCTGCGTGTTCATACCCTATAGGGGCCTATAGTCAGGGCCGTGAACAATTTTAAGTGTTCACAGAACTTTTATATGTTAGCTTACATGTATAGCGCAACATCATGCATTCACCTTAAATAATTATTAATTAATAATATATAGCATAACTAAAACTTATTTACTGATTAAGTTGATGTCAATGACAGTTACATTTGACAACATATAATTAACTAATAAACTGCATGTGATGACGAATTTTTCACTTAAATATTTCAATTAGGTGATTAATTGAAAGTTTGGATTCTGATACATTATAAATCCATGTTAAATTATTTAATTCCAGGCAACAATAATATTAGCACTCGTCTTGGCCGAGAGTGGCGAAACATGCCTGCAAATGAAAAGAAACACTATTTTGATGAAGCTAAGAGACTGGATGCAGAACACAAACAGAAATATCCATGTATGAGCATGTTTTGGAGCAATGCATTATGCAAACCTTTGAAATGCATGTACAATGTGTGCTATCATGAACGTATCTATACAGAAACATATGCTCATGATTAGTGTGATTAATATAATTTTAATTGATGATTTGATCATTATAATGAATTAATATCATTAAAAATCTTAATTGATTATGGTAATTAATCTACAAGTTCAAAATTTAATTATTGTATCTAAATAATTTTTTGATTGACATTTGAAATGTTTAGGCAATTACTATAGTAGCATATGTATTGGATTATAAAACAATCAGTTGTGATTAATAGTACTAATTAACTACAAGTCATAAAAAAGATAAAAGCTTTGTACTTTTAGATGACATTGTATACTGTATGATAACCATGATTACATTGTTTTACAAGCCAGTATGTATTGAATGACGATTTATAATTATACTATCTGTGCCACATTTATGTTAGCACTTGACAGTATTATAGAACAGTGTTGTATATAGCAGTACCTATAAGAGAAACGATCATCAGTATCAATCATTTCCTTGCAGATTATCAGTATTGCCCGGGTGAAGCCAGGAAGCGGAAACTGCAACAAAAGATTGTACTCGTGACCTCTGACCAAGAAGAAGAGAAAAATACTCCAGGAAAAACAACAAAGCATCGAAAAAAGAACATGCCCGTCTATACTGTCATACCCCCAAATGGGCCAAACCAGTAAAACCCTTTATTATGGTTATCTTAACTTGAAAATACAATTTTTGTTTTTTTCTTATCATAATATCATTAAATATGTCTCTATATTGTATGCATATATTTGCTCATGCTCAGCTAGCAAGGATCGTGTTATCATTGTGCATTATGTAAAAAGAAAGGCTTCAACAAATCATTATAATTTGGGTTGAAAAGAATAAAAGAGTAAGATTGAGTGATAAAACATTGCAATAATCCATTTTTAGGTTGCCAACCTTGCTTCTAGTAAATCAAAGTGGTGGGCAGACTGTGAGAGACTATGTCACCCAACACCTGATGAAAGAACGTGGAAGTCCTACAGAGATGTCAGGCTGCTGCCACCAGTCTCAAAATCTGCACTCATGTGGACCTGGTAGATATTTTCTATAACAGTGTATCCCAAGCATAATTATTATGACAGTTTATTAGTTAATTAAGTTGTTAAATACTCGAAGGGTTTTTCCTCTGAATGAAGTCTGTCAATGAAATGGAATGATGCTTTTTATCTTGAATGACTATGACGAAAGAAATTATTCAGTGAAATTATTCAAAACTGTATATACTGTGTTTGCGTATATGCATGCATACACACATGTGAGGATGAGTTTTATGTGTGTATATAAATAATTGTATGTAGGCATATTGAGTGCACAGTAGTATTCGTTTTTTAGTTGTTTTGTTTTTTATGTGCAATGTATAGTTGGACATGGACAATATGGTCACGTGCCTGAAAGCTATCAGTTTTCACCTCCCATGAACCCTGGACCAAGTCAAGGGCAAGCTCCATTGGACTGCCCTGAACCATACAGGATTCTAAATGGTGCACCGAATCCTGGTGCACATATGTACCACCATCATCACCATCATCACCTCTCTTACCCTTCGCAGCAAAGACCGAACGATCAGTGCCAAGTGACACCCAGTGGTCATGATATTGTAAGTCATGTGATGTTAGAGAACTCAGGTTCTACCACTGTTTTTCTTAAGACAAGATTACCTAACATATTAATTGGTAGAATTTTCATAATCACACAAGCAAAGCGAGTGTGTTGTGATCACTCGTGTGAGATAGATTGGTCTCTATAGACAAATAGTGATATAGTCTCATATTCTTCTTATGTAGTTATAGTTGCAATTATCGTTGCTGTTGCACACTTTGAGATTTTATAGGAGGTTTCATATGAATGCCCATATGTGTTTATCTGTGCTAATGAATTCTCTATTAAATTAATTATAGTAAGCATTATTTACCATTAGGAGTTCTTTAATTCCTATGTGTAATGATTTGACTATAGTGTAGCATGCAGTTGTATTTTTTGTTAGTTTATGCCAAACAGCTCTGCATAGCAACCTATATAGGATGCACATGTTTCTTCAGAGTGGAAGAGGAACCAGCACCTCAGCTCATGGTCAGCACCACTACTGCATCCACAACATGAATTCCGATCAAAGGAGTTCGGCTGGTATGATATTGTTGTTTGTTTTCCATTCATGATTTATATATAGCGTGTGATTTAATTATGCATGGAATCTTTATTGTACGGCAGAAAATGATTGTAGTTCAATATCTAATATTTAGTTATCAATTGAATTGTCACACTGTAGTGTTAAGCATTTGCATTTATTTATATGTCCATAAAATATAATTCACGATTTCACGTAATTGCAGTGATAAAAAGGTTTAAGAGTGTGTTTTCTACTTGATTTAGCTGTCAAAACATCAAAGTCTCAGCCACCTCAAATCATATATGTGCCAGTGGATCGGGAATATGCTAGCTCACTAGGATATGCTGACAATGGAAATGTCATAACAGAGGTACATGTTTACTATAGATGCATGAAATAAATAAAAGGTGTGTGATAATAATATAAATTATAATTTCTTACTTTCAAATAAAAATAAGAAAGTTGACAGATATACATTTTAATTGCTATATCCTGAGAACTATGTATATGCAACAATATTTTATTGTCTAAAACAGAAATCAGTTTAGTTTATATATATATATATATATATATATATATATATATATATATATATATATTATATATATATAAGAAAGTAGAATGCATGAGGTGTCAATTTATTTGTATTTTGTGAGCGTTTCAGAACATGTCTTTATCAGGCTTTACAATAAAATGTTTATTTATTTACATACTAAAAAGGTGGATGGTGCACAGCCTGCCATAGGATCGGCTTTCGAAAATGAGAAAAACCTTGGTCCAGGGGAGTACAGAGTTCCATACCAAGTAAGTGTATGGAATTTGTAGAGATTACTTGCTTTTTTACAAGCTTTTTTACGACGTTTGTTTCCGCTAACCCGACCGAGTCCATTTTAAACCGCCGCGTCGAAACTTTTTATTGTGATCGGCAAAAAAAAAATTCCAACAGGATGTCGATAGGTGAATGCATTGATTTGACTTTGAAGTTATTATAATATGGGCTGTTATAAGTATAAAACAAGTATTGTTAGAATAAAAAATAAATAAAAAATATTTGATTAAAAAAAAAATTCCTGCCTACCGTGTCACATTTTTTTCAGCTCGTTAGCGGAAACAAACGTCTTTTTTTTAGGCCTAAGCTAAATTTTGTTTCAAAATAATTCTGGGTAATAAATCAATTTTATCAATTTTTCTATATACAGGGTAACAACACAGATTCTGTTAGATATGGTTATGAGAGTGAGTATCAACATGCTGCCTATTCCCCTAACCAGTATTATACTGGCAATCAAAGTAACATGGTAACAACTCCAACTTGGAGCAGACAAGTTGTGCCAGCAGCTCAGGGTAGACCTGATGTCCATGATCTACAGGTACCGCAACGATACATTTATGCTGGTCATCCCAACTATGAGTATGAGAGTAACAACAGCAATGATGAGGTAAGGGGTAGACTAAATTCTTTTGGTTCGTTACTGCTTTTAAGCAAAATAGATATGTTGACCAGTAAAATGTAATTATTCATGTAAGATATTAAATTCATGTCTTAGATTGTGGTTTATAAGAACATGCCTCCACCAGCTGCCTTGTTTAGTAATGTATATGACTACATGTCTTTAGAAGGTTTGTGGTCAGCTGCCTTTAGATGGCTCTCCTTTTGATAGATCTTACATAGTGCTAAATTTACCAAGTGTTCTTAAATGTCCAATAATGTCATTGTTGTTGATGAAATGTGTCAAGCACTGAAACTAATTTTACACAAGTCTGTTTGAAGATGGAATCTCTCTCTAATACATTTTCTGTGTAATTTCAGATGCTCGGCTTGTACAATACTGGGAGCGCATCCATTAGCAATGAACCCATTCAACAGAATTTAACAGATCTCTCGTCTGCAACCAGCCACGAGACCCTGGATTCGAAGAGCGCGATTAGTTTTCCTTCAGAGACTCGTTCCTGTGTGAGCAGTAGTGACTATGATATAGAGGTCCAATCCGGTGGAAGAAGGAGCAGAGGAGCTGCATTGGATTCTTCGTACAGTGACAGGGAGCAGTGTTTCCAAGCACCACAGGTGAGGGTGAATATCTGCATTTTAGATGATGATGATGATTATAATATTACTAACTGTAATAATAATATTATTAGTAATATTATTAACCTGTAATTAAGGAGGTGTTTTAGAAATGTTCGTCAGGAAAACTATTAATTTTTAAGCAAATGTACAGGGGCAATATTTGCCTCTTTCTTTTGTATATTACATCCTGATGTACCCTTATTTATTATAGAAGATACTATAAGCTCTGTTTTTGAATTTATATATTAATATGAATTTTGAATTTGAATTTGTATTATATTATTATCGAATCGTTTTTTGTAAGCCTACATTTGTATTTTGTCCTAGTAGATGGCAGCTCCAGTTACATTGCAGCCTGTAGAGACTGTTCTGCATCAAGGCGGAGCAGCAAAAAATTCCTCTTCTGATATGAACATTTACAGGATTGATGCTGGAGATTTAGTTCCCATCTCCTTATCATCATTGGTCAGTGCACGTTGTAATGTGTATCTCATTGAAATCATACTTTTTGTGAGTGATCTCCTCTCCCCAGTAAGCCACTAATATTAATATCAGGAGTAGATAATAGAAGATCTTCTATTAATCTACTGCCTGTCGTATAGTGTATGGTCAGGCCTTTATATATATATATAACTAATATATAATATCAGTATATATATATATATATGTATGTATATATATATATATATATATACAATACAGAGCATACCTCTGTATAATATAAAAGAAAAATATGGCACTTCATATCATCCACTTTAGAGTGTAATTCACATGCAGACATTTGTTCGATCAACTTATTACTGTTATTATTTTATGTGCAGGTTTGGGCCACAGTCTGTCCTCCCACCTGTTGAGGGATGAAGTGGTGACCTTTCTGGTCCAATACAGCTAGATACGTCAGATATAGACTTTTGTGCAAAGGGAAGAGGCCATGGACACGGGTGAGGTACAGCAAATGACACAGGGTACGTTATAAAGTCATGCAGTCGTGCACACCTCTCTTTGCATTTTGATCAGCTTTCCCACACGCTTCCCCCACCTTCCAAATACAAAACTACATTTAGCTTGTGTACTAGAGGAAGTCCACCCATGAAATATATACATGGAAGTTCGTTAACGTTGCCTGGGTTACTTGGGTTATGAGAATTGAGTTAGCTAAGGTTGGGGCTAACATTTAGTGTTACTGTTAGTGTAGAGTGTGGCATTAGCAGAGTGTTCGAGTCACTGCAGGCTTGTGATGGGGGCAGTAGGTTAGGAGTTCTATTTAATATATAGAACTCCTAAGTATATCAGGCCCGTAGCCAGCTTTCTATTGGGGGTTCGTTTTTCAATGTCAATTTGCTCGGCCTGAGGGCGCTGTACAAGATTTGTACCAGGGGGGCTTGACCGTAATGCATAGTTGCGAGCACCGCGGAGGGGGGTGTCTGGGGGGCCCTCCCCAGAACATTTTTTAAAAATTACAGCCCTCAGATGCGTTTCTGCGCGAGGCAAGGGGGGCGTCCGGGTTCCGGGACCCCCCCTGTTACACGCCCGCTGCCGGGCGCGAAGCGACCAGGCGGGAGCCAGCGGGAGGCTGTAGCGGGGGGGGGAGGGGTGTGGGAGCAGGGGTGTTCACGTGTTCACCGCTCCCCGCACGATTGAGGAGATTTTGCAACTTTATTACACTAAAATGGCGCGACCTGAGGGTGAAATTCTTGCAAATTTGTCAAAAAAAAAAATTTTTTGCTTCGGGCGGCAGGGGCTCGGGGTGTCGGAGGTCTGCGTTTCGAACCCCCCGGAACCCCCTGGTACGGGCTGTGGCTATATTATACTGGTTGTTATACTTATTACACTTTATTATATTATTTTATTATACTAATATTTTTTTACATTTATTATGCTACTTATTATACTTTCCTAGTATATTATACTGGTAAGCATAATTAATTATCACGGGTAGTAACTGTGCAATCTATATAGAGAGATCTTGTTGCTGTTCTGTAGACTGGCAGTGTTACTGAGCATGCTGTTGAGATTAAACGTGAGAACGTTGAAGCAGCAGCCAAGACTGCAGAGATGCAAACACCTCTTAAGAAGAGAAAGGTTCACAGGAAAAATTCTGATGGTCTAGTGAACTAAATTGTAGTTACCTAATACCTGGATTGTGATTCTATTTGAGTGTACTTTTACTTAAGTGTTTTTTTAATAATGTTTGAGCTAGTGAATTACACAAATGTAACTAAATTTCTGTTGGTACTTTAAGGTAATTGAACTTTTAATTTGATTTTAGAAGACAGTGAAAAATATTCAGTCAACAAAAACATGACTATACTTTATATGCCATGTATATATAATATGCAACTTGGTAAAGCCTAGAAAAACAATAATGGTGAGTGCAGGCACATGGCAGTGGAAATGCAACAGTATTGGCAATGAGTATACTTATGATTGAAGGTTGGAGGGGTGGAGTTTTTACGAAGCTTTACCTAGTGTTAGAATTCTCTTGTAAACAAGGTATTCCGAAGATGACCATTTACTTGTTGGTTAGATGCCTATAGTGTAGTTAGTTTTAGTACACCCGTATAGTTACTAACAGGGTTCTGCTCATTTACGTAATTCGTTGCTATATGGTCCTACATATTCAGCTTGGTTTCGTTGAATTTGTGAACGTGGTTTTCCACAAAACAATTTTTACGGTTCAGTCCCCTTGATAGATGTAATTTTTTCGCCGACACTTTATACTCCTACTTATGAATAACGGTTTCTCTGTGACAGACACATTTGCATGCTGTGTTGTTGTACTTTTCATAATGTTTTTTCCTTAAATTGTTGATATTAGAATTTCGATAGTTGCTCGTTTGGTGTAAACAGTAAAAGAGAAGCGTGATCATGAGCATTCCTTTTGTTGTAAACTTGTGTTACACCAGAATTTCTGTTGAGTGAATTTGACCATTTTAAATGCATGATTTACGAAATATATTTGTGAAAACAGGGTACAGTAGCTTTTATGATGAGTGAATTTGAACAATTTAAGTGTATGATTTACTAAATGTAATAGATACCTAATTGTTAATTGTACATTCTATTATGAGAACAAAGGTTTGTGTATTTTCGAACTGTTCTTGTGCTATATATTTTTTGGATGAAAACACAATGACCCGTGCTATTTCAGGTTAAACCACGAATATTATTTTACTGCTATTTTTTAATGGAACTATTTGTCACTTAATTTATGATTCGGAATTTTTATAGTATGTCTTGAGAGATTTGTAACCTGTTCACGTTGTTTCGTGTGGACAGTTTTCAGCTATTGAACCAACAGTATGAAAATAACTTTGATACATAGAAGCTAAGGATGTATGCGTTGTGTTAACTAGTTGACCGCACGTCTCGTTGTCCAGGTAATATATAATACAGAGTGGGAGGAACGGGCGGGGGTCTATTCCCAGTTTCGCGTTAGAAGAGGGGAGGTACCTGCGTTAGAGGAGGGGAAGGTACCCGCGTTAGAGGAGGAGAAGGTACCCGCATTAGAGGAGGAGAAGGTACCCGCGTTAGAGGAGGGGAAGGTACCCGCATTAGAGGAGCAGAAGGTACCCGCATTAGAAGAGGGGAAGGTATTCGCGTTAGAGGAGGGGGAGGTACCCGCATTAGAGGAGGAGGAGGTACCCGTATTAGAGAAGGGGAAGGTACCCGCATTAGAGGAGGGGAAGGTACCCGCGTTAGAGGAAGGGAAGGTACCCGCGTTAGACGAGGAGAAGGTACCCGCGTTAGAGGATGGGAGGTGCCCGCATTAGAGGAAGGGAAGGTACCTGCGTTAGAGGAGGGGGAGGTAGCCGCGTTAGAGGAAGGGGAGATACCCGCGTTAGAGGAAGGGAAGGTACCCGCGTTAGAGAAGGGGGAGGTAGCCGCGTTAGAGGAGGGAAGGTGCCCGCGTTAGAGGAGGGGAACGTACCCTCATTAGAGGAGGGGAAGGTACCCGCGTTAGAGGAAGGGAAGGTACCTGCGTTAGAGGAGGGGGAGGTACCCGTATTAGAGGAAGGGAAGGTACCCGCGTTAGAGGAGGGGGAGGTACCCGCATTAGAGGAAGGGAAGGTACCCGCGTTAGAGGAGGGGGAGGTAACCGCGTTAGAGGAAGGGAAGGTACCCGCGTTAGAGGAGGGGAACGTACCCTCATTAGAGGAGGGGAAGGTACCTGCGTTAGAGGAGGGGGAGGTACCCGTATTAGAGGAAGGGAAGGTAGCCGCGTTAGAGGAGGGAAGGTGCCCGCGTTAGAGGAAGGGAAGGTACCCGCGTTAGAGGAGGGAAGGTGCCCGCGTTAGAGGAAGGGAAGGTACCCGCATTAGAGGTGGGGAGGTACCCGCGTTAGAGGAGGGGGAGGTAGCCGCGTTAAAGGAAGGGGAGGTAGCCGCATTAGAGGAGGGGAAGGTACCCGCATTAGAGGAGGGGGAGGTACCCGCGTTAGAGGAGGGGAGGTGCCCGCATTAGAGGAAGGAAAGGTATCCGCGTTACAGGAGGGGGAAGGTACCCGCGTTAGAGGGAGGGGAGGTACCCGCGTTAGAGGAGGGGGAGGTACCTGCGTTAGAGGAGGGAGAGGTACCCGTATTAGAGGAAGGGAAGGTACCTGCGTTAGAGGAGGAGAAGGTACCTACGTTAGAGGAAGGGAAGGTACCCGCGTTAGAGGAGGGAAGGTGCCCGCGTTAGAGGAAGAAAAGGCACCCGCGTTAGAGGAGGAGGAGGTACCCGTATTAGAGGAGGGGAAGATACCCGCGTTAGAGGAGGGAAGGTACCCGCGTTAGAGGAAGGGAAGGTACCCGCGTTAGAGGAGGGGGAGGTAGCCGCGTTAGAGGAGGGGAACGTACCCGCACTAGAGGAGGGGAAGGTACCCGCGTTAGAGGAGGGGGAGGTACCAGCGTTAGATGAGAAGATACCCGCGTTAGATGAAGGGGAGGTACCCGCATTAGAGGAGGGGAAGGTACCCGCGTTAGAGGAGGAGGTACCCGCATTAGAGGAGGAGGAGGCACCCGCATTAGAGGAGGGGGAGGTAGCCGCGTTAGAGGCGGGGAAGGTACCCGCGTTAGAAGAAGGGAAGGAACCCGCGTTAGAGGGGAAGGTGCACACGTTAGAGGAGGAGGAGGTACCCGCGTTAGAGGAGGGGAAGGTACCAGCGTTAGAGGAAGATGAGGTGCCCGCGTCAGAGGAGGGGAAGGTACCCGCGTTTGAGGAGGGGGAAGTACCCGTGTTAGAGAAGGAGGTACCCGCGTTAGAGGACGGGAAGGAACCCGCGTTAGAGGAGGGGGAGGTACCCGTGTTAGAGCAGGAGGTACCCGCGTTAGAGGAGGGGAAGGAACCCGCGTTAGAGGAGGGGAAGGAACCCGCGTTACAGGAGGAGAAGGCACCCGCGTTAAAGGAGGGGGGTACCCGCGTTAGAGGAGGAGGTACCCGCGTTAGAGGAGGGGAAGGAACCCGCGTTAGAGGAGGGGAAGGAACCCGCGTTACAGGAGG